GCAATAAAACGCTTGTTCCAGTGATCGCTTCTTCTTCTTCTTTTGAACCGCTTCCTGGATCTCGGATATTCTCCTCTATTGGCAGATATGATACCGTTGGCCAGCCAAACCATTCAAAGACCCTAAGTCAGCGTTTGCTAGCAAAAGCAGAAGCAACCGCGATCCGTTTGAGGAAGCCGGTGTTGTGCGCGCAAAAGAACCTCCTGCAAGCCCCCAGCTTGGCATGGCCAACGGTTACATAACTGTCTATATCTTTCCGCGCTTCCACCCCCTGTTCGAGTTCAAAAAACCCTCATCGCCTCGTAAACAGCCGAGTACTCTCAACCTCACCCCTATTCTTGCCCTATTCCCATGACTAATTTGCCTGTAATTATGAACATAATTGCCAGCCTGTTACTTTTTACCTCCTCCCTATATAAATGTAATGGCCCGAGGAGAATTTATGGAAGATTAAGTGTGCTCGCCAGACATTCTTCTTAACAAAATTTTGTGTTTACCCGAGGGAAACCTAAAACCGTAGACGTGAAATGTGCGAAGCTGACACCTGCCATAAAGAATTACCTTTGTAACTATCGGCAGAACAGCAGACGGGAACCCCTGCGGCGTCCAGTTCCATCTCACCACTGGCCCAAGCTTGCACGCTGGGAAGCTTTTCATGCGCAAAGCAGCAAGACTGCAGTAAGGAGAGGAAGGATTCACTGGTTTAAGGTTAATAGCAAGGCGTATGGAGAAGTAAAACAAAACGAGCAACTTTCAGCCTTAACTTGAAATGGGATATACTTTAAACGGGGTTTCCAAATAAGATGCCATCGGTGTAAATCGAAGCACAGCATTAGTTGAAGAAAAATTAATAGAAGAATTTATGTGTTGATCACCTGAAATTTTTGGTAACAATAAGACACTTTCGGTGGACACTTGTTAATAGGCTAGAAAATAACCCAATAGATTTAGTAAATATTCTATCAATAATGCTCACGCTTCAGTGGTCAACTAGCATTGTAATGGATTGAGCACTCAGATTATCAGTAGGAGAAAAAGTGTGAGACAACTTGGTCCCAAGGTTTGTTGAGCTGCAACCATTGCATCTTCATGTCGCATTCGCTTTTTTTGCTCATTGAGAATGAATTAGTTTCAAAAATCAAATAATTTGACTTAGCAATATTATTTGGACTTATAAGAAGTCGATGGACGCTAGTGACAGCGTACTCTGTCTAACCTACAATTTTCATTATCACTGCGAGTCTACTGGCCTGATGAAAAGTTGCTGAAAACATACGTTTGCCAAGTCGACTTTTCCAATTATGTTTGAGAAACCGAGCAGCTTTTACAGAATCGCTTACATAACCGCAATTTGTTAACTTGGTGACTAACCCCGGACTTCCAAATTGCAGCGCACATTGAGAGATTTGTGCATAATTTTGACCTTCAAGGAGCAGACAACTTAGGATGGGGGCAAGTCAAGAATAAAACGACTAACTCTTGGGGTGTAGTATTCATACGCCAACTTCATCATTACGCATCTTGTGTAGCTCTCAGTTACTCTTTAAATTGAAGGCCTTTTTTATGAAAATCCGGTAACTTCTATATTATATCCGCCGCTTGCGTTCATATCGCACACCGAAAGCCCTGATCTGACGATTTATAGATGCTTGCATTCTCCCCCTCATACGTTACCCCCTCATATTTACCTTCAAATTGACGCATATTTTTCTCTCTCGCTCTCCCTCATCTTGACCTGTCTGCCGTTTATGTAGTCCTGCGTCATCACGTACGCGAAAACCAGGACGAAACGGCTAGACAGAAGTTAAGGCGGACGTGCAAACACGGCCCGACCACGAAGTCATCCGACGGGGGACAAAGAACTGGTCTTACAGGAGCTGGAAAAAGTCGCCTTCGACCAATTTGAGCCT